TTTGCATCACCCAAAAAAACTTACTTTCCCAAAATTTGTTATATTTACTCAAAAAATATTTTAATTATCGTAAAAATATAAAAAAAATTATTTTCTCCACCCTGTAACTTCTTAAGCAAGCAAAATTCTACAAAGTTAAATTGGCCTAAATAAACTTATTTTTGTCCAAACTAACCACACCTAAAGTTTTCCCCATTCTTTAATGAACATCCTATATAAATCTAAATTATTTTGTAATAATAGGTTTAATGAATGTGGATACCTACCCGAAAAGACAAATGCAAATTTTTTCGTTCCAATAATATTACCATGATGCCCTCAGAATAATAAAACAGTTTGTTATCCTAATACAAAACATTTGTACGTGATACAATGGAAACTCTCCATAAAAAGTTCCAATTAAGTACTTATATGTAATATGTAATAAGTATAACCCGATCTCTATTAGATTGTACGTACTCGGACGTTCAATAAAATTTTTGTTCGCGATTATACCACAAGAATAAACATCTAACCAGAATGATATCTCCGATCACATGATCGCCAAAGGCTTTTTTCCTTGGAGTACTTCTAAACCGAAATTCTAAATCGAAACGTTCAGTGCAGTAGCGATTAAGGTATACGGAAGAAGGTATCGATATCGTGATTAAAATTATTATTTTGTTTAAATATTTTTATCGTTGTTCAATATTGACTATATTCTGATTGTGTTGTGGTAAAGTGTTAGTGTCAGTTATGGAAGAAGACACAATATAATCAGCACTTGTTTGTAGTTATAAAGACTACAAAAATAAATCTTACAGTTACAAATTAACTTTATAGATTTTCTCAAGAGGTTGAAAGGTAATATATACAATAAAAAAAATATAATATAAAAGTCAATTGTTCAAGATTCGCTGCGGGATGTCTTTATAAATATATCTACAGGTCAACCACACAGAAAAAAAGGTGTACTATATTCAAGATGAATGGTTTTATTTCAATGCTTTGTTGTGTTTGTATATCCGCAAGTAAAACTCGTCTCGATTTAAAATTCTAGTAAAACTTGTTGAACAATAGCTAATAAGCCTTGCTTCAAGATTAGAATCAACTTGCCCTAATCAAAATACCTTTAATTAAATAAAGAGTATCTATTGCTAAATTGCAGTATTATATACAACTTCAATGAAATAGTCTTACACTTGTTTGAAATATACTTTATTTATATTAAATAATACCTTGTTCTTAAATCCAATACAACTAAATTTGTTACAATAATAAAATGATCTTTGACATAAATATATTGATTTTAGTTGAATTATAGGATAGTTTCATTGAAGAAATTAATAATCTTGAAATAAGAAGTCTTACACTTTTTTAAATATACTTTATTTATATTCAATAATAACTTTTTCTTAAATCCAATACAACTAAATTTGTTATAATAATAATATAATCTTTGACATAAATGTATTGATTTTGGTTGAATTATAGGATAGATTCATTGAAGAAATTAATAATCTTGAAATAAGATCAGGCTGTTCTTGCTTTTTAATAGGGTTCTCACTGGTACCTATCCACCGAAAAACATTTTTTAAAATTGTTTTTAGTTAATATACCAAACTCTGTCTTCTGGGGTTTCCCATCTATAATTAAAAAAATAAAAAAATAATTTTATAACTTCAAAACCTAAATGGAACATAAAAGTTTGTCATACTAAGATAAGAGGTCGTATCTACAAAATGAATATTTTAAGTAAATGTGGGTAGGTAGATAAGTACGTCCTTTTAGACTTTGCAAATAAGTTTTGCTTATTTTACTAACCTTTTCTTATAATTTTATAGTAAATATTTTCTAGTGCAAATAGGCCTTTAATATTTTGGGTTATAATAAAATAAAATGTAAGCTTATTAAATTTGTAAGAATCTTGAAATCAGAATTTTCGTAGATACGACCTCTTGTCTTAGCAAGGCAGAAATCGTCTTTCCAAAAAGCCTTTATCCAGCATCATTCATTTTTTTTTACTTCTATTCCAGTTTGTTTGGTATTCTTATGATTATAAATTTACTTATATATAATAATACTTAACAAGAAGTGAACTAAATATACTTTTTTTTTATTTGACAACTGCATATTTACAATCTACTTTCATTGGAGCAATAATTAAATGTGTTATATGAAGGTGACTTAGAAAGAGAAATCGTCCAGTGATGAACCTCTTATCGATACCATGGCTAGGGTTGTTGGTTGGAGATTAATCCTCGTCATGTATCTACTGGATCAGGTCTGTGGGCCATTGTCGTTGTAATCTTCTTGTGACGTTTGGAGGGATGTTTAACCGTGATATAGTCTTAAAAGTCTCTTTATTTCCTCTGTGACGAAAGGGACAGGTCATTATGCAATGTGAAGTTGCTCACGTACCATGGTGCATTGGTTATTGATCCCAATACTTTAGACTATAGCCTTTGAATTATTTTTGTATTGGATGGTTTGGTACATCCCCATAATTGAACTCCATACGTCCAAATCGGCTTCAATATACATTTATATAGTAGTAGTTTGTTGTCAAGAGATAATTTGGATTTACGTCCTGGGAGCCAGGACATTTCTCTTACTTTTAAATTTAGTTGTTGCCTCTTTGTCTGAATGTGCTTTTTCCAAGTTAGCTTCTGATCCAAGTGTAATCCTAGATATTTTACTTCGTCCTGAATGGGGATTTAAATGTTGTTAAAAGTAACAGGAGGATATACTGATCGCTTGTTTGTGAAAGTCACTTGCGCGGATTTGGTTTGATTAATTTTTATTTTCCATTGCTTAAACCACACTTTTATTACATCTAGATGATATTGAAGTTGTTGCGATGCAATAACTGGGTTAATGTGTGTTGATAGAAGGGCTGTATCATCTGCGAACATTGGTATTTTAGTATTGTATGTAGTAGGTAAGTCCGCGGTGTATATTAAGAATAATATAGGCACCAGAACACTCCCTTGTGATACTCCAGCCTTTATTCGGTGACAACTTGAAAGTGCAGAATTATGCTTGGTTTGGAAGTACCTTTCGGTAAGATATGATATAGTAGCAAGTAATAGGGACTTGGAAGAGATTTTTTGATTTTGTGCAATGAGCCACTTTGTCACACCTTATAGAATGCTTGAGCAACGTCTAGAAATGCGGCGGTACAAAATGTTTTTTTTTCGAGACTTTTGGTAATTTGGTTAATTATTGTATGCGTTTGCTGTACGGTCAAGTGGTGTTCCCTAAACCCAAATTGATAGTCAGGGATTAGTGTGGATAATTTTACATTGTTAACGACTCTGTTTAATATCAATTTTTCAAATAATTTGGATGTTATTGGTAGTAAACTAATAGGACGATAAGAATTGACTTCATTCAATGGTTTTCCAGGCTTAGGTATCATTATGATTTGAGAAAACTTCCATACCACGGGAAAGTATGACAATCTCAGCATGCTGTTGAATATTTTTGTTAACAGCACTATAGTCTTCCTCGGTAAGTGTCTTAATATTTTTTCAGTAATAATATCGTAGCCAGGTGCTTTATGTTGATTTTATTTGTCTTATTTCTTGAACTATTTTGTTGGGTGAGAAGTATTTGATAGGTAGTGACATCTGGCAAGGTACATCTAAAAAATTTTCAATTTCCCTGTCGTTATTGTTTATTGTATGTTGATGTGGTGTAAAAGTCTGGACAAGATATTCAGCAAACGTGGCAGCTTTTTCAAAGTCACTTTTGACCCATGTTCTATTATTTTTTCTTATAGGTGGTATTGGCACTTAAGGTCTTTTAAACTTTTTGGTGGCCTTCCAGATAGTGTGATTTTCTTTACTGAGATTGGTTAAATATTGTTCAAAGGAAGCATTTCTTGCATTCGCTAGTGTATTGTGAAGTTTGCGTTTTAACCTGTTCTATGTAATTCTATCAGCGTTGTTACGTGATCTTTGCTATCTGTTTCGCGCTCGACGTTTTTCGGTAACCAATTGACGGATATGCAGTGGTATATTATATGTGTCCTTGGTTTTCGGGTTTACTGGCGGAGTTGAATGCCATGCTGCTTGTTGGATTAGTTTGGTGAAATACTGACTTGCTTGGTCCACTTCGTCAGATTCCTTGATTTTTATGTTCAGATTTGTATGTTTATCTAAGTAACTATGAAAGATATCCCAATTTGTCGCATTTGTGATAAGCGTTGATATATTTGGTTTACTTATCTCGTGTGTGCTTAGTGTTAGGATTACAGGAGTATGGTCAGAGGATAACTCATAATTTGGTTTAATCTTAATGTAATTTGCTGTTTCACTCTTGTGAATAAATAAATCTAATAAGTCTCGTAGTCTATTAGGGTCAAGTGGCCAATATGTTGAAGTACCAATAGAAATGTAGTCACAATTTACTCTGTTAATTGCCTGGAGTAGATTTCTTCCTTTTGGTGTTACTAGTCTTGATCCTTATTGTAAATGTTTAGCATTCCAGTCTCCGCCTATCAAGAACTAAGATCCTTGATATTCAAAAAATTTTACATACTCTTCAATCGATATGGCATATCGAGGAGGACAATAGATGGCTGATATTGTTAGAGGCCATGGATTAGCGTCTAGTCTAACTTCTGCAGCTTGAATTTTATCACTACGGTGATGGATGAGTTCGTGATGGGAGATTGTATTGCGTATTAGCACGGCTGCACCTCCATGTGCTCTATCATCTGTGTGAGATACGTGATAAACATTATATTATGGTATTTTAAAATATGTTATGGTTGTAAAGTGGGTTTCTGATATTAGAGCAATATCGATTTTGTACATCTAAAGAAAATTGATGAGTTCAAGTTTATGGTTGCTTAGCCCATTTGCGTTCCAGAGAACAATTCGCAGATTATCCATTATTAAGCAATTTTGGTGATGACGGTGCTAAGTCAATTTAATACCATGCTATTCTGGTTTATAAGCTGGTTGAACATTGCCTTAAATTCATTTAAGAAAGTGGTTAGTTGTTCCATTATGTTAATGGGTTGTTGGTTTTGTGTAAGAATTTGAGAATATGAATTTTGTGGGGCTAAGTGCATTTAGTTTTGAGGTTGATTGGTATTGATTGGTGTCATTTATATTGATTTTTGATTGTCTAGTGTTATAACGTGGCGTATTTGTTGGCTTTCCTCTAGCTTGTTGAAGGTTTTTGTATACTTCGCATCCTTTGTATTTTGCCGGGTGACTTTCTTCGCAAAGTACGCATTTGGCTGGTGTATTAGCAGTTTTCATACAAATGATTGTATTATGATCTCCTCCGCATTTAACGCATGCATATGGGTTTTCGTATGTCCATAGGACTGACATCTAGTACATTGAACGATGCTAGTTTTATTTCTTGGAGTTTCAACGTTAATTTTCATATTACACAGGTATTTTACATCAAAGATATTTTTATTATTTTCTTTTGTGTCCTTCTTTTTTAATGCCTCTGAAATTTCTCCTGTCGGAATTGAATAGTGTAGGTTTCTAATTACTACTCTACATGCTTTATCCTGCTTGACTTGATATGTATGATATACCACTTTATCGTCTTTTAGCTGTTTAATTAATTTTCTATAAGTATCTGGAGTGCTTACATTAATTTTAATTGTGTCATTTGAAAGACTTTTACAATGGTATTGTCATTCTTTCAGTGTGTTTGCTAAATATTTTACCATTTCTTTGTAATTTGTTACTCCATTGATATATATTGGTGGAGAATGGGGCTCTTTTGGTTCTTTTGGTTGTTTCTTTGTTTTATTTGTAGAGACATCATCAGTTTTGGTGCTTTGTATGTCATCATCATCTTTTGATATGTCTGAGAGCTGCTCATATCTATTCTGAGTATCACATGTAAATGGGGTGTTTATTTTGTTTACCTCTGGAGACAAATGTGCTTTTTTTCTTCTTTTTAAGTACTTGCCAATTGTATTTGGTAGTTATTATACAGTCCTTTTCGGGTTCTTCTCTAGAGAGATTTTCGGTATTGTTTTTTGTTATGGACCGATTTGTTATAGCTGATATCTGGATATCTGGCTGATAGAGGTGGGCATATTCGGTATTGATTGAGCTGGTCATATTTGTCATATTTGTGTTATAATTTAACTGATTGGTTGGATATTGTGAAGCTGGATTTATAATTTGTTGTTGCATTAATTGTTGTTGTGGAAATTGTTGTTGCGTAAATTGCTGTTGTGGAAATTTCTGTGGTGGAAATTGTTGCTGTGGATATTGTTGATGCTGAAATTATTGTGGTGAAAATTCCACACCTGTAATTTTGAACCAATCAAAATACGTGTTTTTGACAGATCACCATGGCAACGGAGGTATTTTAGTGGAAATTTTTTTCTCGTGGGGTTCCCAACAGCGAATTATACTGGAAATTTTTTGACGTTTACAATAACAGACCATTTTTGACAGACTGGTTTTTATTTGTTCACATAATAGGTTTAGTTTTGATACATTTTAGTTACAATGCTAAGGTGTTTTCTATATTCTTCGGCCACTTCTTTTCTTCTTAATGGCGAAAATGCAGGACTTTGGATGCTTTGAATTATGTGTCTATGTCTAATAAAATATATATATAATATTAAGACACTAATTTATTCACCTTTTTCCCATTCAGCACTTTGAATTTTGCGTAGTTTAGGTGCAAATATTCGTGGACAATTCGGAACAAATTTTCGTTTTTCAAGTTGGAGCCACAATCCTCTATTAATCCGAGTAAGTAAGTCATGGTGCAATAATTGATCATTACATCAGACAATTTCACGCATATTTTGCATAGCGTATGATTTTCAAATCGATTCATTTTTAAACAAATAGGTAATTTTGTTGGTTTTACTTGCTGTGCAATATTTTTTATCGCAACAAAACGCGAGTTATTTAATGTTTTGAACTGTCAAAATACAATGATCACAGCCTCCTACGATTGATGCTTGCTGACGCTGGTTATGAATTTCATACCATTTTAAAGCGCTCATAACGCATGTTAATAAAAACGCAGAAAAAAATTTTCTACCACTTGTAGTTATTCAAAACTTACGTAAAATTAAAGAATATACTATTTTCTATTTTCAAATGGTATTCCCATGCAACTACAATGAGTAGAAATAAGCAATTTGAAGGCCTAAATAATTGCAGCGAAACATTTTTTTACGTCGGGCCGCTTGACAACTTTAAAACTGAAATTATATTCGAGGTTAGGGTCTCACTTAGTTACCATGATAACTCAACAATCAAGGCGACAACACCTTTTATGTTTCACTGGTGACTTGGAGAAAATAATTTGCATTGTTGAGAAACGAAAAATACATTTTAAAAATATTTAATTTTCAACCATAATTCGGCGTGGAATTTTCTTACCGAATACCACGCGAGGTCAAATTAATATCAGGAAATTTTTTCTCGCTCATGAATATTTTTAGAAAATTTCCCTCGTCTGCGACTCGGGAAATTTTCAAAATATGACTTCCGTATAATAAATATCACATCTCAACATGTGCCAGTCATATATCTACCGTATAAATGCAGGAGCTGCAACATCTGGCAATATCGGGTAGTGAATTTGTACGCAGAAGAAAGTGAAAGACTCACTGTGCAACAGGGACAAACGATTATTTATATACGCATTCTTTGCACATTTTATACGTTTTTTAAAAGTATTTGCATATTTTTTCTAAAACTACATAATACATATATTAGGGTTCCATTATTGAAATTGTCATGCATTTTTTGTTCGCTTTGGGGATATCCACTATCGATTACCTGGAAAAACCTACGTTACGGTGGGCCTTTTTGCTCGGTATTGTCAAGAAAAGTAATACCTGCAATTAGGGCATTAAAATAATAATAAAGGAACGTTTTCAAAATAACCACCTTGTCAATTTATGTGAAATATAAAAAAAAAGAATCTGAAGAGCAGCTTTCATTTATAACTGACCTAATAATAGTTTTGTTCATAAAACACTAACTTAGAAGCTTTCATCTTATCACTTTTAGAAAGAATTAAATCAGTATAATTAAAGGTGCCTGAAAAGGGTAAAATAGGGGAAGATATATTTCAAAATTTAAAAAATATTCTTAAAAAAATAATGGATACGGATTTTTTTCTGAACTGGATACTTCAGTTGGAAATTTAATAATTCTAAGTAGACCCTGAAACAGTGACCAGTCTAAAAAAAGACATATTTGCCCTTCTTGATACATAATATTAATGACAAATTAAACACAATTATTTGTTTAAAACAGGTAAAACGTTTATTACATAATTCACTGTTGGGTTCTAATTAACAGTGCTGTTCCTAAAATGGCGCTGGGAAACAGTAACAAAGCCTACATAGAAAACGAGGCTAATGACCTTAGCAGTCGATGCCGATGACACCAAATTAAAAACAAGGACTTATTTACAAACACATATACACGTAAAATTTAGAATCTAAAATAAGTCAGAAACATCCTCTCCGGTACCTACCACCATTTCTTCATTTCTATCCCCTCAGTCGCGAGACCTGATCCCTCCAGTGCGGCTGAAGATGCTAGGCAGAATGCCTATATCGGCGCGCTCCCAATTGGGAGAATGATATGCACATCTTTTTTATATACATAACAATAACTAGACTAAGAATAGGACATACTTAAATGACTTATGAATACTTAATAAAGAAAAGAGACAAACCTATATGTATAACTTGTAACTGTGAACTTACTGTAAAACATAATATTACTAGAATGTACATTATACACATTGCAAAGACAACAATATAATTTACCAATCAACATTAAAACCCTGCTGGGAAAAGACTACAATGTGGATAATATTTATAATTATCTGTTAAATACCTCTTCTTAAAAAACTGTAAATCAATTATTACTTATCAAAGCCATCGCTAATAACCAATATGGTTGATGCGAGAAATAAAAAAAAAAATGTAATAGCAATTTATTACAATAAAAAATATCCATATTTTTAAAAGTGGCTTCTCTTTTTTTTTTTTAATAGTATATAACACACGATTAGAAGACTACCGCATGGTGGTATCACGAGTTGGATCACCTCAGGAAGATGGCTAGGAAATCTTTTAATAAGGCAAGAACCACAAAACTTAAAGAGGACTGGGATACTTACAAATGTCATTTCAGAGAATACAAAAAAATCATCAGACAAAAACAGAGAGATGCATGGAGATCCTACTGCGAAGAAATCGAAGATTTTCCGCAGGCAGCGAGGCTTCAAAAAGCTCTCTCAAAAGATCCACACCAAAGCATTGGTGCGCTAATCAAAGAGGATGGTACGAAAACTGTCAATATCGAAGATAGCATCAAACTTCTGCTGTCAACACACTTCCCTAACTCGATCATCATAGAGGTGGCGGACTGGGCAGAGGAAGAATACAATCCATCTGTCTATGATTGGCAAACTGTCAAACACATTGTAGGCGATGAAAAAATTAGATGGGCAATCTCCAGCTTCTCTCCATTTAAATCGCCAGGATCCTGCTTCAGTGGGGTCTGGAAAAACTCACACCGCACCTGGTGGGTATATTCAGAGCCTCGTTGGCTCTGAGGTATATCCCCCAAAAATGGAGAGAGGTACAAGTGGTATTTATACTCAAACCTGGAAAGATGTATTACACTGTCCCAAAAACATACCGACCAATTAGTCTGACATCGTTTTCCATGAAGACATTGGAAATGCTATGCGAAAGGTACAAAAGGGATGCGGTGATTAATAATAATAATAATACTAATAATACTCTCCCTAATTCACCCCCTTACGAGTGAATTTCAACCCCTGAAGTCGACTGAACGACTTGTGTAGGGGAAGGGACGGCTATTATTAATATTTGCAGTGGCGCTCCGAGGCGACTTAAGGATGATTGATGGTGCCATTTGACTTACAGGTGAGGAAAACCTGGAAAACCTCACCCACCATCATCGAGACGATAATGTATGACGATTTTATAATCTGCATGTCATATCAATAGAAATTGAATTTTCTATTAATACGGCACACATCAAATCCTAAACCGAACCATGCAATTTAATTAAAAATCCACATAATCTGGTCTGGGATTCGAAGCCCAGCAGTCTCGGACTCATAAACTTGCCTATAAATGAATATAAGCGCGTTAGACCGCTACACCATCGACCCGATACAACACCACTACACCCAAACCATACTAGACCCCAGGCAAACCTTCTGATTCAGCCCTTCTTCTAGTTGCTGGCCGGATAGAAAGATCCCTGGATAATAAGGATTCCGCCTTGAGTGTTTTCATACACATAGAAGGTGCTTTTAATAAAACCACCTTTCAAAAGATAATAAACTCACTAACCAACAGGAATGTTCTACAAATGGTTAGGGGGTGGATACATAACATGCTCTCAAAGCAAGCAGTGAACATAAGTGTAGAAGATGTGAATATAAGAGGCTTCGTTGCGAGGAAATGTCCACAGGGAGGGGTGCTATCACCTCTACTGTGGAATATGGTCCTCGTTAATGACAGTCGATACACAATAGCATATGCAGATGACCTGGTCATTCTGCAAACAGGAAATTTTGAGAGTATACTCTGCGAAAGAATGCAAGTAGCTCTAAAAATTATAGGAAAGTGGTACAAGGCATTCACTGTCTATCAATCCTATGAAGATAGAAATGGTTCTTTTTACAAGGAAAAGGTTGAAAATTGAATTAAAACCTCCAGAACTCCTAAACACAAAACTACACTTTGCAACAGAGGTGAAGTACCTAGGTCTCACCTTTGACAGTAAGTTAACATGAAACTCGCATTTAGAAAACAGAGTTAAAAGAGCATACATTACTTATAAACAATGCTGCCGAACCGTGGGACACACCTGGGGCTTCTCTTCCAGAGTCGTCGCATGGACTTACACGGCTATCATAAGACCTATGCTAACATACGGTGCAGTTGTCTGGGTACCGAAAACCCAAAAATTAACAGCTATCCGTAAACTAGAACAAATTTAAAGAAGAGCATGTCTCAACATAACAGGAGCCATGAAAACAACACCCACTAGAGCAATGGAAGTAATTCTTAGTCTCACTCGCCTTAATA